TACTCTCAAGTTCACTTAAACTTTTCCTAAATATTGGATTTTTTTTCCTAAATACTGGAATTTTACTGGACAATATGCATATTTATAAACTAACAAAAAATCAACCATTTGTACACATTTTAATTATAAAATATTTAAAACTCTTTGAATTTCATTTTTAATAAATTGTAATTAAAACGTATGTAAGCGTTTAAAAAAATGGGATTGTTTCAAACAGTTCACAAAGAACGAAACATCCAATATCACCGAAACGTACAAAATATTTAAAAATGAAATAGTAAGACAAAAGAAATCTTCAACTAATATTGATAACTCACAATTTAATATGAATAAAAAACTAGTTTAAAATGGCGTTTAGCCTTAAGGCAAGTTGTATGAACTTCCCGAAATGTGTAAGAATTGACTTAATCAATCAAAATTGAAATTTGGATATTTAGATAAAATTTTCAACTGTTTATTTCAAAAATAAAGTTATCGCTTTCAATTAAATCTAAACATTGCGATTTCAAATAAAATTTTCTCAAACACATTTAAATTAACTAATTATATTAATTATATTGCACAGACACGTGCTTGTATGCCCTAAAATTGTAGCTTATTATTTTAAGTTTCTCAATTTAATGAATTGATCTTGTTTGACTAATCACATCACGAAAGAAACTTTTGACACAAATTTTGACTAAAATATTTTCTCAAACCTTGATTTTTTTTTTTAACAATAAACTATTTGTCGTAGGGCCGTAACATTTTAGTATGTTTTATAAGACCATGATATCTATTGCCAAAAAACTTTTATAAAAATCGGCAAAAAAAAATTTTCTACAGTTAATTTCAATAAAACTCGGTATATTTTTACCTAAAACTAATCAGTATCATTCCCAATATCCTTCGAAAAGTTTTTGATTTTTTTAAAATCGATTCAGAATTGAGAGCTAAAACGCCGACAATTTTTTTTCATATTTCTGCTATTTACAAAGAAACGGCTCAGCCGATCGTCGCGCAAAATTGATAAACGCTAGTTCTCATCGAGATACATCGAATGGCTTTTAAATTTTTGAAATCGGTCCAGTCGTTTTTGAGAAAACATCGATTCACGACAAAAAATCTGTTCACATACACACACACATACTTTTTGCAAGTTTGGTCACATTCGATTCAGAATGGCTAAAAACGTCGAGAAAACAAAATTAACGAAAACAAACAAAAATTCAAGAAAACAAATTTCTCCTTCGGGAAGTTAAAAATAATTACATAAGTAAAAACAAAAATTTAGAATGATGTATATGAACAAAACTTTAAATAAAAGCATAGATGAATAAAATCACAACGTATGTAACTTTATTATTATTCAATTTATAAAAATAGAAGTGTAAACTTCCGACTTTACAATTGCTGGTCCACGGGTTCAAATCCGCGTTTTATGAAACCTGATATCAAGCTGTAGCGATATAAAATACATCAGAATAGATAGGAGAACAATTGGCATACCTTCTAAAAAAAAACTTCTTCGAGCTTATACATTTCATAGTTCTAATTACTGTTTAACCACTTAAGTCGTTATAATCGAGCCATAACGAAAATATCCGCGAATCAGATTTTGTTGCGTTGGTAAGTAGAAAAAAAAGATGAGTTATTTTACAAAATTTAAAATTGTAACACTAAATTTTACTTATTTGTTGACAAGATTTTTATTACACATATTAAATTAAAAACGGAATAAATTCAATGCGATATTAGACATATAAAATTAAAAATTCAAGTTCTTGCAGTAAAGTGATAAGAACAACTTAGAATATTTTGAGATGATAGTAATACATCTCAATTATTATTTATTAAGTTTCCGCATTTCGGCAAGGTCATGCAATGTAACATAAAGACATATTCTAGTCTAGAGTTTCAAGAAATCTATCTTTCTTTTTTATATTTTCTAAGTTTTACTATTCGAGAATGTGTGAACAAAAGGATTTTTCAAAATTTAAATTATTTTCGGGGATATAGCTGTTGAATCACAATAATGCTGTTTTAAGCGTTTTTCTTGAAACTGCCTTTTTTGATACGACACCCACAAATTCTGAAATTTACTTGAACTTTTTACAGAGTCTTTATTATAGACTTCTCCTTAGTATGAACTACGCTCATCCATAAATTCCGATTATTATTTTAAAAGAATTGAGATATCAAAAAAAGTTATCCATTTCTTTTACAGGCATTTTATATATTTTTTTCTGTATTCCTAAAACAAGAATGATTAAATTATAAAAATCGGTAATAAAAATATTGTTACGCCCTTTCAAATATCACAAAAAATTTATGCCTCTAGTCTAGTAGAACACACCCTTATATCAAAATCTCTTATAACAACTTATTTCATACTGGCATAAGCCTCTAAATATACCAATCATCTTAAATTTTTGAGATATATTTTAAGTGATCAAATTTAATAGCCAATGGTCACTGATTTATACGCATGACGAATATATCCGTCAATATACAAAATTTTTGCACTGTCCATAACAAGTATACTCGTCAAATACTATAGCTGGATAAAAAATACAAACAAACAAAAATATTTATAATAATAAACACTGATCCCAAGGCTAAATACCGAAAACTACAAAAAATATCGGTTTCGGTCTGTTGACGTTTTTAAGAATGAAATATTTAAAAAAAGTTGCAATTGAATAAAATTTAGAATACTCACCACCGGCAGCTATTCTGGCATTTTCGCGCAAAACATCGAGTTCTTCCAGGGGTTCGCAGGGGGAGTGATTTCCCAAACCTGCAACTGCAACTGCGCCGAATTCATCGAGATCCCAGAAAATACGGCTCTTGCCCAATTTAATGGGTCCACTCCTGAAAATATTTTAAATATAGTGCGAGAATAAACTATTGTCGTTTTATTTGTGTTGAAACTACTGTGCTGTTTATTTTGATTGCTATTTTAAACTATTTTAAATGATGAAGCATAATGATATAATGTGTTAGGCCTTTTAAAGAATTAGTTAAATTCATCGATAATAACATACAATTTATAATGACCACATTTCAGATTTTTTTCTAAATCCTTATAGTTAAGTAAAACAAATTTGCCATCAATCAGAGCAAAATAGAAAGCAAATCTATATTAACATAAATTGTTGAAAATTGAAAATTAATTTAATTAATTATAAACTGAAAAAATATGAACCAAGTTGAGAGCTACAATGAAGAGCTTGAGATCATTGTTCCGCTTAAAACATAAAAATATTAAAACATCTTTCAAAAAAATTTAAGCCAATTGTACTATATCGATATAACAAATAAAGCTTACAATTTTGAACAGTAAGCTTGATGTAAGAGCCTTGTGATGCCATTACGAATTGGTGGCTTAAACTATAAAAAACCTAATAGATTTAACACAAATAAAATTAAAATAAACAATTCTACAACGCAACGGAGTTATAAACTGAGAATATAAACTAAACCATGCACAAATAATATAAATCAGATGGAAACTGAAACAAGTTCATTATAAAGAAAATTCAGTATTTAGACCGACAACACTTTATTTTAATATTCCATTTAAGATCAATTACATCTAATTTTTATCAGTACTTATTTATGTAACAATTGATATAATATTGGAAAATAAATATAATTTTCCAATTTCAGATTTAACAAAACATGCAATACAAATGTTTTGAATAAAACAGCACATATTATAACATTATCTAAGTCACTTTTAAGGAAGATCAGGATTACAAAATATCTAATAACAATTAAGAAAAACGAATATTTATATAGATCACAAGCATTTACTTCTACAGCCTAATGCACAAAAATGTGACTTGTTTCATCATCGGTTAACGTCTTTTTATTTAAACTTAGAAAAATAGACGAATTTCTAACAGTATTTTGAAATATAATTTAATTTTAAGTACGACAAGAGATAAATATTCGAATATTCCAGTCATGGCGCAATTCATATATAGATTTATATTGGATTAACCTCGTTTTCATAAACATTTGGCACACATGTATTTTAACTATATAATTTTTTCTATTTTACAGCTATTATGGAATTTAATCAAACACAATTTATTTAGTATTTGAACATTTTAATACATGTGGTAAGTGTATTCTACTAATGTATTTTATGATAAATTCGTTCAATGTACATTATTTCTATTCAATTTAATCGATTAAATATTTTCATCAATAAAAATATATGTCAATTGTAAGTTTAAAATCTTTCTGCATTTACCACTTACCACACCTATGGTTAAAATATTGGTACGAGATATTCCCAAAAATCATTCTTTCACAAAGTTAAGAATGAATTTTGCATGAAAATTTTATGTATATCGAACATTGCAAACAATTAAGATGGTTAAAGTTACTAGGTCAATGCGAAAAATGCACAATTTAAGAAAATAAAATAAACTATTGCTAAAGCTATTATACACATTTAGAACTATTCTGTACACATTAAACAACAGCAATATATGGAGACTATGTGTATTCAATCCGACTATCTTAAATTAATAAAATAATGTATTTTTATATTTTGTGTTCTTCAATAAAATACATATGTAATATATGTTCATATCAAGAGTATAGTAACATCTGTAGCACCACGACATTAATGTCATTACTTAATTTTCATATTTTTATATATAAAAATATAATTAGCACACGAAGCAAAAATACTTCAGATAAATGTATTTACAGTTTTTTTTTAATAGTTCAGTTCTGTATATATATGTATATACATATATATATAACTATATATATATGTATATATATAAATATATGTAAAGATGTATATACACATACATATTCATGTATATGTACATGTATTATATAGTACACAGAAAAAATTCTAAAATAGTTCATATGGATGTGTCTAATAGTATAACATTTTATTACATTTCCAACTATGAAAAATAGTATGTTCGTAATTTATTTTTAAAATAAAACTTTAAAATAAAAAAGATAAAACAAGTATAAAAAGTTGGTTATTCAAAGTCAATACTGAACAAATTCATTATTTATTATAAATGAGATTCATAACTAATTTCACAAATGTTAGTCTAAACCAGAAATCACAAACAATCAAAAATGATTGATATAACTTAGCTGAGTATAAATTAGCTATAAAGTCCACGCAGAAAAATGCTGGCTTAAACTAATTCTAAAATTTTAATTATTCCTTGGCTGTTAGCCGCAACAACAACATTTGATGATTGCCTCCAACAAACAGCGGAAACAAATTCGTTTGGTTCTTCCTCTTTCCGCTCGCAATCAAGCACACTGCGAGCAGCATCAAATTTAAAACTAAATAGCTGTTTCGTTAGTCCTTTAAAATAAACATATAACGAATTATTTTCAGAGCCGCAGGCCACGTAATCACCATCAGTTGCAAGACCTACAAAGTTCTTCTCGTTGATATGACCAACAAATGTTCTTAAACAATAAGGAGTATTTACATTCCACATTTTCAATTGGCTGTCAGTAGAAGCAGATACTATTTCTTCAGAGTTAATAAATTTCACATATGAAACGGCCTTACGGTGACCTTTAAATATAGATAAAGGTCCTTTCATATTTCTCAGATCATAATAATGGACGCAATGATCTGCTGCTCCAAAAGCCAAATGATAAGAACTATTTGGATTGAATTTTACACAGCACACATTTGCTTTAACTTCTAATGTTGCAACAGAATGGTCTACATTTAATGACCACAACTTGACCCGTGCATCATCAGAACCCGAGGCTATCAATCGTGTATCAACGTTATTGAAATCTACACTCCAACAACGTTTGTCATGCTCTTGAAATGTTTTCAGTCGTATTCCTGTTGTTGCATCCCAAACAGTGATCGTACCTTCATAATCACTAGAAGCCAAAGTTCCCTTATGATAATTATTCCAACTTATGCATGAGATTTTACTAGAAGATAGCATTTCAACACAGGGATAATGTATATCCACCGTGTCTTTGATCACAGCCCCATAATCAAAAACTTTAATTCGTTTAGTTACACCAGCTATAGCAAAAAATTCATTGTCCTTATCAAATTCTATGCTTGATACAATTGTTGAGTTATTAAACATATCACTAGAGTAGCTCAGAGTCGCTAATGGTCTTAGTGAATTATACCTTGAAAATTTAACTAGATTTTCTCGGAATACATCTAATCCTACATAAGAATTTACAGTTGTTTCTGGTTCAGGTACCTTTGGGTTTAATTTAGTGCTTGTCGAATCAGCACTGAAATAAAGATCTTTAGCACGCGATGAAAAATAGCATTGAACAAAATCATCAAAGTGGGCATACATCCGTTTACGTCTAGCTGCCAAGCTTGTAGCAATATTATAATTCTGCTGACCAGTATTAAAGCCTTCAATATCAACATTAGGACCTTTAGAATCTGATTCTGCCCTAGGTATATCAGAAGAGTATACTGCATTGTTTATCATATTGAGAAGTTCTTGCTTCATTATTACAACCGATGCATCACTTCCAACAACTTTTTCAACTTCTTCTGCAGTTGGACACTTTTGCTGAACATTGTGAAGGATATTTTCAACTTCACCCATATCCTTTTTAATTAATGCCACCTCTTTGGCAATTTGTAATTTTTGTTCCTCTTTGAGCTCCAACAGATGTTTAAGAAATTCATAAAGTAATCTATTTTGAGCTGCACAAGATTCTGCTTCTAATAAATGTTTCCGTTGGGTCAACACTTCAAGCATCACATTCACGTCTGGCAAACTTAACTTTTGAGACTCAGAAGTAACAAAGTCACGCAAAATATCTCCAGGACCATCATGTTGAAGATCTGGAGATAACAGCCTATGCTTGGTTATAACATCATTAAGTAAAAAGTTTGGAATAATATCATCAGCACTATTTATAGTCCGGCTGCATTTTGGGCAGCGCCTTAGATTTTCAATCGCTTGGAATATACAATCATAACAAAAGGTATGTCCACATTTTGTGATGTGTGCCTCACGAATGGTATCAAAACAAACAGGGCACAAAAAATCACCATTCTGAGCATCCGCATTATGTATAGTTTTCAAAATAGATGAAGGATGCTGGCGCTTCAGGGGTCGAGACAAATTATTTAACGAAGAGCCAGAGCCCGTATAATCTTGTTCCAAAGACATTGTCAATAATAAATGTTGTTACCTTAGTTTGTAGCTAACCTAAAACAATACAATGCCTTATGAGCATATATGAGCGATAGTGCAAAAAAAATTGTGTCAATATATCAGTCAACAAATACTACAAGAAAACCAAATATACGCTACATTGTTTCAGGCCAGCTACTAAACTATTATTACAAATAACCGTACTTACAAATGAATTAGATCTAGTAAACGCCCCTGCAATCGCCGATTGAATTGTTCAGCAGTTGGCGTTAACCTTATTTTTTTATCGAATTCATTGTCGTAGATGCCCAGTACTAATCCTTTCTGAAATTCACAAAACACAAATATTATCAAAAAGTCCTCAAATTAGTCCGTTAAAACACAAGGTATATTTTATTTACCTTGTTACTCATAGAGCTGCAATATCTGACACTCGCACAAAAACTCAAAACCCTACGACAGTTCAAATATGCAATGGCCATATTTCATTTTACCTAATCCAATCAACTCAATCAGAAAATTGGGTGAATAGGAGGGGGAAAGCAAAATTGCAAACGTCAGAAAGACCATAGACACACTTGCACTGTTATATAACGGATTAGAAACGCGAATCGATTACGAATCGAAATGTTCATTTATTTTAATATAACTATCACAATCCGCTTTTATTTTTAATAACAAATAAGTACATCGACTCGTAATTACTTTAGAAAATTATTTACGAAAATAATACGACACTCATAATTTTGATACGGGTATCCAGCGTAGACTTTCATTTGTTAGTGATGAACAGTCGCAGTCGCTAATTAGGCTCATAAATAAAAGAGATCTGGTTAGGCTTTGTTAGGCTGTTGTTACACGAAATCATTTTTCTCATCTGACAAATAGACGACAACTATGGTAGTTTTGAATAAAATAAAATTAGGTTAAACTTTTCATATAAGATATTTTAAATATTAAACATTCAACTTGTATTGAGTACTTTTGATACTTAGTAATAGTCATAAAATGGTAATAGTATTCTTCAAGAAAATTAAAATCAGTAATTATTCAATGTGTTTGAATGTACTACACTAAAAATGAGTCAAATCAAGATTCGAAATGTTTCTAAATTAATTATATAAGTATCTGTACTACTTAACTATGTTTTTTATTAAATAAATATTATTAGAAGTCTGATATGGTCTGATATATATATATATATATATATATATATATATATGTGTGTGTGTATATATGTGTATATATATATAGTTAATTACATATTTATTCTCTAACCCTTCAATTGTTATTGCTAATATTTTATCAACTTTGCATTTTTAGCATATTTTTAGTGGGTGTTGCTCATCGCAGTGGGCGTATCCAATACTTGAAACAACGTGAAACGCAGAGATAAAAGAAGAGTATGGTGAAACGTATTACGTTTCTTTTATCATGCTTTTGACTTGATTTCCAACAGGACATATAAGTGTCACACACACACAGTATACTTGACAGATGCGCAGCGTACGATAACACTTGTGAAGTCACTTAATGGCTCATCTCCACTGCACGAACGGGCACGGCGAATCAATGCGCGAGGTTTGCTTTTGCTTGCAATAATTTAGTCTGCGCACATTGCGAACAGATTCGCCGTACCGATTTGTGCAATGGAGCGAGCCATAAGACTTCTAGCCAAAAATTGTTCTAATCATAGGTAAAAGAAGAATATAACTGGTTCTAACAGTGTTGATTTTTTAAAAAAATAATTTGTGTTTTATCTACTGAAAAAAAGAGTGCGCGTAAGGTTCACACGCGATTGAAGTAAAACGTATTTGCTATTGTACAAGATAGCAAATTTAAGTTAAGTAAAAATAAATACATCATATAACAATTTTGAATAATGTTCACACTTGTGTGATGCACACATTTATTAGTGCCAACCATTATACACATTTATTTAATGATAAATTATAAATTATATATTTATAATACCATTAAAAATATGTACTAAATTCTATAATATTCGTTCACACAGTGGATTATGTTAAACAACGCCTAAACAAATATTGTTTTCGCAACTTCACATCATGTAATTGTGTTTGATGAACTTTATGTAATTAAAATTAACATATATTCATTGACTGTTTGTATCTTTTTTACTTTTTCGCTGGCGATATAATCTCGTTCTTTGAATAGCTGTAATATGTTTTACCTAAAAAATATTTTCCATTTTATTAACTGCAAAGATTTATAGAAACTACGAATAATATAGAAATAATTTCTAATCAATAAACTTACGTTTAGTACATGACACAAATGTTTAATTTGTTTTATTATTTTCAAGAAACAGGGTAAAATATTTTTCTGATTCTGGCATTTTTTATTAAATCAATATTTGTACTACGATGTAACTTTAAAATGTTTATTTATCTATGCCGATTTCCTTGTTGGTATTGGTACGCATACAACGACAGATCTCTATTCACATTCACGACGACTAATCACAATCGACCCGTATTGAAATGATTTAATCGATGAGCGAATGAATGTGCAGTTCGGGCGTAACGCTATTTCCGTTGCATTTGCATGCATTTACACCCTAGTCGCGCCTAAAGAAGTTTTACTTTAACTCTTTTGAAAAGCACTGGTTATCAAACATATGGGTACCTATTATATTCTTTTTAAACATAAGTTAATTTTGCAATGAATGTTTTGTGATTTTTTAAAGGTAATTATAAGCTTTTCTCACATATTTTCTTTTCTTTCTCACATATAATTGATATGTTGTGTATTATAATAATCTAAAATTAATTGTAACATAGCATATGATACTCTAAGAGTGTAATACCCAAAGATAAACAAGTATACCTTATACCTTAGGTTAACAAACTCATATTCTCCACATTATTCATTGAAATATAAGTTTTATATTGAAAAAATTAAATTTTAATATGTGGATTGATGTTTTTCAAAGATTTTTAAGTGTATAATCATCACATGTTTGGTAATTTAGTATCATTCACGATAAATTTTACAGATAAAATACTATCAATTATGTAGTGTTGATAGGATATTGCAAATACAATAAATACTCGCAATCATAATAAAAGCATATATATTCAGATAATTTCATAAAACACAAAATCAAATTAATACCATCTCATCAAATCAGATTACTCATTTTTTTGATCTGATTTTCATTAAAACTTCTTATATTAATTTTCATAAATAATGAATCGTTCTTCTCTTTAAAAAGAATAATTAAACCATGATGCACACAATATTCAATAATATTCATGACAATATACAATATTTTAAATCATTCTAGATTAAATATCACATCTGACATAATTATTATAAATACCTATTACTATCTTAAAATATGTGAAGGTAATGTTGTAAGAAACCCTTTGTTAAATATCTGAGAAAATCTGAGAATCATCTTTGTTTTTGGCTAAGAGGTCGTGCTATTTATTTTTGCTCTATTTCTAGATCTGTCTGCTTTGATCCTAGATTTTTATTTGTGAGCATATCAAATTCAGGCCTCGACAGAAGTGTTGCAAATATATGCTCTGGTAGAATTTCTTCATCATTTTGATACCTAAAATAATAAAACAAAATTTTCAAACAAAAAATGTAATTCAATAATAAATAAATTAGATTTCTGTATTTTGAATTAAATTAATTTAAGATATATATACATACACACATATATATATATATATATATGTATTATATATATAAGTGCTGCTCATGGCAAGTCTGTGAGCTGAGTTAAACTTTAACTTGATTACATACAAATTCAAATAATTACTATATATCTTCTACAAATGCATTTTGGAATATATTATACACACCGACAAATTCCTAATGATTTCCTAACAACATCTGATACAAAACATTTTAACACGCTGCACAAAACTTCTAATGCACTTGGATGATTAATACCTAAAACAAAAAATATATCATAGTAAATTGTATAAAATATAAGTAAAAATAATATATAAGTTTCATTATTCACCATTTAATAATTGTTCTGGTTCAAATGATATTCCTAACATTCTTGCTGCACTAGAAATTAGTTCACACTCTCCCACATTTCCGTATAACACAGGTAGCAGAAAATGGTTACTGGTGGTAACATCTTTCGGAGTATATCCTTGAATTAAATTATTAAACTGATCACTAAAATGCCAAATTTCAAAAATATTACACTTTGGGCCATCACCACCATCAACATGTTGAACTGTTGAACAGTTTATTACGAAAATAAAGGTTTCGCTTTCAAACGATTTCCAATTGAATTTTCTCAAATACATTATTAATATATATATATATATATATATATATATATATATATTTATATTGATTATGGTGCACTGACAGGTGTGCTTATATGTCCTAAAATTGTAGCTCATTGTTCCAAAATTGATTTATACAATTCAACAAATTTTCGTAGGACTGTTTAGTTCACGAACTTTGTCGCCATGTTAATTTTCATGAAAAACGTCGAAATGTATTTTTTAAAAAACTTAATAAAATATATTATGAAATATTAAGCATCTGCTATAAGAAAATACTGTCATGATTACTTAAATCATGTGCGTTGTTCTAGATATTATTTAATGATTTAAATGCATGATAACATTTTTTACAAAACTAGAAAAGTTTTGTAGACAGTTCATTTACTTTTTTGCTAATTCCAAAGCCATTTCTAATTGACTTGATTGACTTTTGACACTATATATAAATTAAGACTATAATATTTTTTCAAACTTTGATAAATTTTTTAAATTAAACTACTTGTCGTAGGGCCGTAATATTTCAGTATGTCCATAATGTATATCGTCAAAAAAGGTTTAATAAAAATCGGTATATTTTTTTTCAACAGTTAATTACAAGAAAACAGCTTGGTAGATTTTCACCTAAAACTAATCAGTATCATTCTCAACTAATATCTTTCAAACAGTTTTTTATTTTTTTAAATCGATTCGGTATTATGAGCTTAAATGTAGACGAAAAGTTTAATTAACTTTTTTCCAAATTACAAAGAAACGGCTCGGCCGATCGCCGCACAAAACTAAGAAACGATAATCCTCATCGAGATACATCGAATGGCTTTTAAATTTCTGAAATCGGTTCAGGCGTTTTAGAACAAACGTCGATGAAACGTCTAATTTTGACAAATGCCAAAAAAACGATACTAATTTTTGCAAACTTCGACGAATTTTTAAAATGAAACTACTTGTCGTAGGGCGTAATATTTTAGAATGTTCGTCAAAAAAATGTAGGAAAATCGTCGGAAAAAATGTTTTAAACAGTTAATTACAAGAAATTGTGTCAGCGAATCTTTACCAAAAAGTAATCAGGTCGATTCCCGCGGATGAATTTTTTTTCACTTTTCTGCGATTTACAGAGAGGAGGCTTAGCCAATCGTCGCCCGAAACTGACAAATGATGATCCTCATCGAGATACATCGAATTTAAACATCCAATTTTTGAAATCGGTTCAGCAGTTTTTGAGAAAACGTCGACGAAAGGTTGAAAATCTGTTTACATACACACACACACTTTTTCCAAATTTGGTCTCATTCGATTCAGAATGGCTTGAAACGTCGAGAAAACATAAAATTAGCGAATCGGATTTTTTATGAGAGCATAAAGTTCTCCTTCGGGAAATTAATAATCAAACATAATACTTCTATATACCATATATATACAAATAATATTCCAGGAAACTCAAAATTTATGTTAAGTGTATTAAGCCAGATTCTGAATGGAAATTGTATTACATTAAAGCGAGAACAAATATAGTTCCTACTTAAATTTTCAATATAGTTTAGATACTAAAGCAGTAGTCTATAAAAGCACATGCAGGATCAAGTTCAAATCAGATAAAATACATCATATTCGTTAGTGTTTGAGATAGTCTGCAACTAAATCTAAAAACTTTTAGATTCCATGCTTATATTTAAAAAAAATAAGTATCGGGTTGGCAACTAAGTAAGTAAGTGCGGATTTTTGTTAGAAAATCAAATTCATTTTTTTCATTGAACTAATAACTTTATTTTGTAATGTATTGTTCATTTTAAGCAATGACTTTTTGTCATCTTTCAAGCAGCATCAATAACTCACTTTTCCAAACCTTCTGGTTTTCATTAGTAAAAAAAAAAACTGAATCAGGTAAAATTTGACACCATCATAATCATAGTTTGCCATTCAAGGAGTTTTGTAAAGATTGAAGCAAAAAGTAATCAGAAGGTGCAAGGTCATCAAGACTATGTGGTGAATGTGGCAAAACATTCCAACCAAGTTTCAATCATTTTTGCCAAAGATATGTGATGTCAAAGATAGAATAATCACATCATAATCACATCGAAAATGAAAATTTTTATATTTCTTTATGTTTCAAAACCTTCTGAACATTTTGGCATACCTTAAAAAAATGGATGTATGTGTGTGTGTGTGCGGATACAAATGTTCGTTGACGATTTCGGGAACACGGATCAACCGATTTGAATAATTTTAAAAACATTCGATTCGTATTGATAACGATACGTGCTGAATAATTTTTGGCAACGCAGGTCTAACCGTTCTAAAGATACGGGGCAAAAAATGCCAAAAACGGTAACTTAGTTTTTAGGAGAACGGAGCGTCCGATTTTAATAATTCAAAAAATATTTTACTTGTATTGACAAAGTAAAAAACTGATTAAATGTTTGGGAAGGCAGGTCTAGCAGTTTCGGAGGTTTAGTAAAAAAAAAAGTAAAAAAAAATGCCGTTTGCCGGTCAAAAATGATCATTGGATATATGCACATCAAATTATCAGATTTTATAGAGGTCATATTACTACGGGTTTCAAAAACTACACAAACAATCAAAAAACTCTTTTTTACTGATTGATTGATTGCAAACCTAAAATTTCAATTAAAACCATGTAAGAATGAAAGCCGCACTCACTTAGTTACCAACCTAATAATTTTTTTAAAATGAAAATAGTGGTGGAGTGGACCACATTTTTTTAGTTTGATGAACACTGGTTATATTGCTAACAAGACGAATAAAATAATAACATAACATAACACTATAATATAATAATCACTTACTCGTAGCATTTGAAATTGCTTCAATGTCAATAATATCGTTAGTATCATATATATCTTTTGGTATTGATTTCAGCTTTTCATCAAAATAATCAATTAAATTTTTTGAATTGGAATATGAAATCATCGACACTTTGTTTTTATTCTGCTTACTGTCAGCACCAATTTCATTATTTTTAGATTTCAAATTATTTTCCAGAACCATATTAATATTTTTCCAATATTTGTGCTCTTTGGGCAGAAAACCATGTTCTCTAGAAAATTGCAAGATATTTACATAATTCCATCCTTCCGGTACTGTCACATACAGGTCTCTAAGGAATGAATATATACACTTTGCTCGTTTGATCTGCAATGGTTAAAATAAATTTATTAATTATTAATAATATTATTTACGAAAAACAAATATTTTCATCAGCTGAAATGCTACTGTCAATGTTTATTACTGTGTTATTAAATTTTATGAAAAGAATAACTTTGTTTTGAATGTCTTTTAGCAAAGAAGAATATTTAGTCATATTCCAGCTACAAATATTTTAACTGTCAATACCGTACCTCTAAAAATGCTTGTTTAATAAGTGAATAATTTTTAAACTCTTGACGTGTTGGCACATCAAAAAATATTCCTGAAAAGCGATTGGGTTCTATGTAAAGTGGAACTTTTCTTAATGCATATCCTATAATATAAGTTATATCTAGTTGTTTCAATACTCTTTTGAAAACAACTACATCATTCTCAAATGTTTCATATTTGTGCTTCTTGTCTATGTGCAATTTATTTAAATCATCACAATTCTTTTTAAATCCAAGAAGTTTTCGTTCTGGTGATAACTTAATTCTAGGTTTTTGCAACATCAAAGGAGTTGTTAAAACTGAATTGCCTTTTCTTACAATTAAAATTTTTGGATCCTCATCTGATTTGGACAACAGACTATTTTTTTGAGGCAAATTATTGCACAGTATTGATTTGAGTTTAATTTTTTTTGGATTTTGTATATTTACACAAACACTAGTTGTTTCTAGAAGATGATTGCTTTTTAATAATGATTGAGTAGAGTTCTTTTTTAGTAAACTTCTGCTAGAATTCGAATTGCTAATAACAGACTTAGAACTACTATTAAGTAATGACATAGGTTTAATATTTTTAACATTTGCAGTTGGCAGTTTTTTTATGGATACTGGTTGTAATATTTTAGCTTTTGCTACATCAATAAAATTGTTTGTTTCAGCAGGTTTTAATTTAATCGGAGTAATGCTAGGTATGTCAGCATTTCTTTTGATAGAAATTTTATCACCAATAGTTATATTATCATCTTTTACAGTTGTAACTAGATTGTCTTCTTCATTTTTGTAACATTTATTTTGTTGCAAGCTTATAAACAAACATTTTTGTAACGTTTGATAATAAGTTAAATTAAAAACTCTAATTTTTTTAGGAAATCTAACCAAATATTCACAATTATAAAAATAGTTGATGCAATGCAAAAATATATTATCATTAAAAACAATAAATTGATCTGATTCATATTGTTTGATATCACATAATTGAGGCTCTTCTTCAAAAAAGTCTTTAGAATCAATAATTTCATCATCTTCTGTTTTTACCGAAGTATCTAGAGATGAGTAATTTTGCTGAATGACATTTTTAATATTCGTAGCTGCAACATCATCTATGCTTTCCTCCATCAGTTTAAATGTAAATTCAGGTACTACTTTTTTGGATGTTTTGTCCAAATGGTTTGGATCTAAATTTAAAATAACTTCCACGGCAGCTTCTGTTTCCAGACAGTATCGTCCTGATTTTAGTTTATCAAGTTTTAGGTGATGCAGGTATGAAATAGGTTTTTCATTACTTTTGAAGAACATTTCAACATTTATTGGAAATTCTCCCCAGCCTCTTTTGTATAATGAAAATGGTTCACCACTAGTATAAAAAAATACTATGAGTAAGCACAAAATTATATAATATTTCATATGTATAAATATAGCTAATTTTGTAAAAAAGAGTTATAAAAAATAGAAATTATTTTAAATAAAAAAAAATAGTTAAAAAATGGATATAATAATATACAAACAAGATTAATAGACAATTTTGTAATGGTCACATATAATAAAATTTAACATATATAATAATGGTAAGATAATTTTCCTAACAAAAAATTGCAGTTATGACAATTTACCAATTAGAATATTTATTTTTAGATTCAATTGTAATTATTTCACATATACTAACACTACTTCCACAACATCATTTGGTTTGTAAGATGCATCTAAGTGAAATCGAACTTTTTGCAATATTTCACCAACACTCGGCTGATCCTCTGGTCTCCTGACGTAGACACACCAATTGTGAGTGCAATTGTCAGAGTTATCATCGCCAACAAATTGACTTGTATTGCCTATATATTTTTATAAGATTTACTAAAACTTTACGATTTTTTTTGTATCTAAGTATAAGAAAATGCTTAGCAAATAAAACTTGAAAATTAAAAACAGAAATAAAATGTATAGAATAAACCAAAATATGATATCAACTCATTATGAAATCAACAGTAAACAATTTAAATACAATTTCATTGAAATTCTTTGCATTATTAGCAATTTTTGCATTATAAAATATTGATAGATTAAATTGCCTTACTATTGACAAAATTGTAAAAATATTGTTGTGTATATATATATATATATATATATACAGGGCCGGATTTAGAAATTTGGCGCTCCGGGGCACTAACAAAAATGCCGCCCCATCCCTGAAATTTTACGAACTTTCGAACTTTTTTTAAAGTAATCGCGCTGCTTTAGCTGCGAGGGACAAAAAATAGAAGCGCGTAAGCGCCGCGTCGCAGTCTAACGTATAAACAATGTTACAGAACTTATATAAATGGAAACAAAATTTATACTTATTATTATAATATCATATGTCTTATGATCACTTTTGTCCGCCAAATGTTTCTTTTTCAAATTTTTTTATTGGATCATCGAAACCGCTAAACCTGCCCCCCACAAATTCAAGCAGTTATTTATTCTGTAAATTTTTTTGAATGTTATTGGACGCTTTTTTTCTCAAAAACTGAATAATCATTTTTGGCTTTTTGGCCCGTATCTTCAAAACTGTTGGACCTGCCTTGACCAATAATTAATCAGCACGACTCCTTATCAATAGCAATTGAATCATAAATCGGTTGATCCGTGTTCTCAAAATCGACTTGAATGATTAAAAAATATTAGATTTGTATTGATGGGGAGACATGCTGAGCTTTTGGTACAGGCAATTACAAAAAATGATAATTTAGTTTCGATATTTCTTCTCTGAAACAGCTACGCAGCGCGATTGCTATGCAAAAAGTTCATAATTTTCGAAAAATTTTAAAATACAAAAAATGTGTTTTAGAAGTCTTTTTTTTCATTTTTCAATAAAATTTATTTTCAAGCCCTCTTAATATGAGTCACTAGTTTAAATATTTTTTTCGACGCTATAAGCTTGGAAGTGCAAAATACGTCATTTTAAGAGGGCTTGAGAACTGAAGAACATATTTTTCTTAAACTTTCAGCTTGTTTACGGATCTTTATATTAGCCAAATTGCCAAATTAGATAACTTATTAAGCAATTTATTTATGTATAGATTTTTTTTCTCACTATTCAAATTTTGCCGCCCCCCAAAATTTGCCGCCCTGGGCAGTAGCCCCGATTGCCCCTACTGTAAATCCAGCACTGTATATATATATATATATATATATATATATATATATATATATTAAATGTTAAATATGAACAATACAACACTCAGATTTTTAACACACACTTTATTTGGTAATTACAGACATTTCGAGACCATGGTATGCCTCATCTTCAGTGTAATTTCAAAACAGTTACTTACATACTAACACATTCTTTAATATTTTATTTAAATTACAATTAATTTTTGAAAATACAAAACCATCACTTACAAAGCCTCACACAGTACTAAAACATGTGAATAGATACAGAAATAGTTTGAACAAATCTTAAGTATCGAGATGAAGGGACAGGATGGGTATTATTATAATGTAAACAAATGGAGTGCGCGATCGCGTACTAAAATCAAAAAATGTGAAAATAGATTAATTTATTGAAGAGAATAAGATAAATGAAAAAAGATTATAAATTATTAATGATGTTTATATAAGAGTTGTGCAAAATATTTGTGTCGGTTCTGAGATTTACGCTATTGTTAGTCCAAATTATTAACGAAATCGATTTATCGAAATCAAACTTATGGTTGTTGATATTAGCATGATCCACAAGCGTACTTTTAAATTTTTTATTATCTATTTTTTTGCATTGTAATTCCTGCTGCCTGAGTCTTTTATCTAAGTTCTCACAAGTCTGGCCAATGTAAGAACAATTACAATCCAAACAATTTACTTTATGTATCTTTCTTTTATGTTAAAGGAGTTTCGTCCTTAATGTTGGAATATAAACATTTTAATTGTTTCAATGAAGAAAAAGTAATATGAATATTGTGTTTTTTGAATAGTCTTTTTGATAACTGATTAAAATTGTTGTTAAGATATGGAAAATTAGTGAAAAAAGTTTTTTCAGGAACAAGTTTTTGGCCATGATCTTCCGGTTTCTTATCAGAAGGTTCAAGTAATTTAGCGACTCTGTTTTTTTATAATTAGATATATTAACTTAAATGGAAAATTATTGCCAAATAAGAGCGTTTTAACTAATTTTATGTTTATGTTATAAAACAAAAAGTCTGATAATAAAATAGCGTGATCTACAAGATTTAAAATGGTACAAATTTTTATATTGAGAGGAACATGCGAATTAAAGTTAATATACCTCCCGGACCAACTATCTTTTCTATACCGATCTGTAAAACAAACACCGCCTCTATTAAAAAAGTTTTACGTCAAGAAAACGTAAAAAAGAATCATTTTCCAGATCCTGAGTGAATTGTAAATACGAATTGTACTCATTATATTTTTTGAAAACATTATCTATATCTTTATTATTAAGTAGTATTAATGTGTCATCGACATATCTGAAATAAACTAATAGTTTAGAAGGTAAAGAGTTTGAAACATGATTTTGCAGGTCTTGCAATACCAAATCGACTAAAACAAGACTCAATATTTTTAATTAAAAGTAAAATATGATGCTTTTAAAAGTAAATCAATTCTTAAAATAAAAGTTTCTAACAGTAAACATGTAAATTCATGTTTACCAATGTGTTAGTACATAAGTAACTGTTTTGAAATTACACTAAAGATGAGGCATAACATGGTCTCGATAACGATTACATCTGTAATTATTAAATAAAGTGTGTGTTAAAAATCTGAGTGTTGTATTGTTTATATTTAACATTTAATATACGTTCCACTCATATCACAAAATTTTTCAATATATATATATATAAATATATATATATATATATATATATATATAATATAATAAATAATAATGATGATAATAATACTATACCTATCAAGAGAGTGAATTTAGAAAAAAATCTTGATGATCGATCCTGATTTAATACCAGCTGAGGTTTGATATTGTCATATCGAGTCAAATCAGTTCGAGTCTTACTTTTGTCCAAAGTTGTTATGACAGAAGTCGTTTTATTTTTGGCTTTAACAAATGATCTTGAAGTGTCTAGTTTAAATTTTGATTTATCTGTACTAGTCTTAATAAAATTTTCAGTATCTGTTTTTTTGGCACCTTGTCTCGTCGATCTTTTATTTGATAATTTCAATAACTGGGCTTGTGCAGCTACAATTGTTGGGTGCTGCAAGGACGTGAATCCTTGCAAAGATTCATTATTAATAGCCTCTAATATGGCTTTATTATTTTCATAATAGTCCTTAATACTCGAATACCTAGCCAGTTTTAATAAAATTTGAATATTTTCTAATTTCTCCTGGCTTTCCAATATGCGTTGCCTGCAGTAGTTTATGTCCCTCGTTAATATTTCTCTTACACTATTTGGTAATTTGAACACGTCCCTACCACTAGCTGCAATTTCTTCTCGTTTCATAAAACATTTTATTTTATCTTTTTCCATTTGCCAAATTAAATTTTGACATGACTTTAAGTGCAGCGTATTTTTTGTTTTTAAAATCAAAACCCTTAGATACAGTTTGTTTCAATTATTTAATACATTTGTTTAATAAAACAGTTAATGCATATGTCAGAAAATAACAAATCTTTTAGGTTAAAAGTCACTTTACTATTTACATATTTCTAACCAGTGCTTCTCAATTGTGATAAGCCGTTGAAGCCGGTTTAGAATCGGCGAAATCGTCAAAATCGCGCCATATTCAGTCATACGCATTAATTTGGTTGATAACTCTGGTAAATGGTTGGAAGCTGTAATACAATATGTATTTAACTATTTATGCATAGATAAAAGAAGAGTATATTTATTTACGTATTTATGAAAGAATGAAAAATTTTAAATGGTAAAAAAATATAAACTAGTGGTGTATGGCATCGTGCCTTAAGGCAATTTGCTGGAACTTCCCGTACCGTAATGAAATATTTGAGGAATATTAAATGTTTTCAAATAGATTATTATAAATACTGTAACTTATATATGTTTATAGAAAACTAAATATACAAGACTTAATCAATCGAATTTAAAATGAAGAACTTTATCTAATATTTATAAGAATTATAAACTGAATTACAAACTTATAATTATTTATTTAAAGTATATAAGTGAGCTTTAGAACTTTAGCTAGACTAGCTGTAAGTGGAATTCTGTCTTAAGGCAATTAGGGCATCGTGCCTTAAGGCAAATTGCTGGAACTTCCCGTACCAAAAATTATTATTTTTTTAAAAAACGATTAACATTTTTGAAAAAAAAATTACTTCGAAAAAATAAGATTTTTGAGAAACTATAAATTTGACAAAAAATTACTTTTTTTTGAAAAAAAAATTGAAAAAAAAAATTTTTTAATTTTTTTTTTTTAAATCTTTTTTTTTGAAAAAAAAAAATGTTTTCTTTATTTTGACATATGTTGGAAGATCTAAACTTTTTTTCAAAGCAATCGTACTGCTTTAAATGCATAGAGACAAAATATAAAGCGCGTAAGCGCCGCGTCGCTGTCTAACGGGTGAACATTGGTACGGAACCCATAGAAATGTAAACAAAATTTATACTTATTGTTAAAATCTCTATAAAATATCTGATAATTTGATGTGCATTTGTCTAATGATCATTTTTGACCGCCAAATGGCATTTTTTTTTACTTTTTTCGTTATATCTCCGAAACCGCTAAACCTGCCCATATAAAATTTTGATCAAATCTTCATCTTGTCAATACAAGTCAAATGTTTTTTGAATTATTAAAATCGGACGCTCCGTTCTATTAAAAACTGAGGTACCGTTTTTAGCACTTTTTGCCCCATATCTTTGGAACGGCTAGACCTACCTCCGCCAAAAACTAATCAGCACGTCTCCTTATCAATACGGATCGAATGTTTTTTAAATTATTCAAATTGCTTCATCCGTGTTCCCGAAATCGTCGACGAAAATTTGTATCCGCACACACATACATACTACGCACACACACACACACACACACACACACATCCATTTTTTCTAAGGTATGCCAAAATATTCAGAAACCTCTGAAACGTAAAAATATATAAAAATTTTCATTTTCGATTTTTTTGCGATTACTATAACTTACCCTACGGGAAGTTAAAAAAAATAAACTTGGATTTATTTTCGATATTAAATTTTTTATCCAAAAGCAATCGTTCCGTCAACACAAGCAGAAAGTTTTTTGAATCATTCAAATCGGATGCTTAGTTCACTCAAAAACTGCCATTTTTAGCACATTTAGCTCGGTATTTTCGAAACGGTTGGGCCTGCCTTTACCAAAAACTAATCACCACTTCTCCCCATGATTACGAATTGAATATTTTTTGGATCATTCAAATTGAGTGCGCTGTTCTCTCAAAAACTCGATTTATATTTTCTGCACTCTTTGCTCCGTATCTCCGAAACGGCTAGACCAGCCTTTGCCAAAAACTAATCAGCACATCTTCCTATCAATAGGAATCGAATGTTTTTTGAACCATTCAAAATCGGTTGATACGTGCGCCCGAAAACGTGGACGAAAAATTGTATCCATACACACACACACGCACCCACACGTCCATTTTTTCTGAGGTATGCCAAAATGTTCAGAAACCTTCAAAACGTGAAGATATGCAAAAATTTTCAATTTAGATTTTTGGACGATTACAATAACTAACCCTACGGAAAGTTAATAAAAATAATATTCTTACTATAATTATAGTTTTATATATGCGTTTAATACCACATTTCCTATGACATTTATCAAAAGTCTCAAATGGAGTCATATAATTCTAACAGCTAGATAGCCTTACAATAAAATAAATAGCCTTACAAATAAAATCATTTTCTTTTTCAAACAAAAAAGAGGTCTCAAACATTATTTTGTTTAATTAACTATTTTTGGTTCGTTTTTGAGAAGCTATTAGGTTTTTTTAATATTCTATAAGCTGTTGTGATGATTATTCCCTTAGGGTGAGTTACAGTAATCGTCAAAAATCGAATTTTTTGCATAAATTTACGTTTCAAACGTTTCTGAACACTTTGGCATATCTTAGAAAAAATCGAAATGTGTATGTGGGTGTGTATGTGTGTGCATACAATTTTTCGTCCACGATTTCGGGCGCACGGATCAACCGATTTGAATAATTCAAAAAACAACCTATTACTATTGATGGGGGTGGGGGGCGTGTTGATTAGTTTTTGAAAAAGATAATCCAGCAGAGCTAAATGTGATTTTTTTAATATTGAAAATTATTCGGAATTTCATTTCAATTCTAGATAAAATTCTAAATTTCAATCATATATTTAAAATAAATAATTTTAACTTTGCAATTCAGCTTATTTAATTCTTAGAAATATGAGGTAAAATCGTTCATTCTAAATAGTACTCCCTAATTAGAATGCATATACGAAAATTGTTTACGACATACAAAATATAAACTATTATCTTATAAAATATAAATTAAATTGAGGGATTTTAATTCCAAATAAAATATAAAAGGGTATATAAGGATATAAGTGTGTCATGATCATGTAACAGTTTTTATTGTACCTTGGGGGTACTTTTATTGCGACTTTACCCCCTCAATAAAAAAAGTTAATAATGCTCTTATACTAGATTATAGATAATGATCTAGAGTAATAAATTAAAGCATAATAAAACATATTTTATGAGTTATAATTAATTATACGAGCGTAATTATAATTATCCAAAAATCGGTTCAGCTATTTTCATGTTTTTGGCATTTAAAGTCATTTTGAACATTGTATTATAAAAATCAAAGGTTTACTTTTCAAAAACCCATAAGCAAAAATTAAAAATCTAAAAGCTAAGCTTAATTAAAAATCTCTTACGAAAATCTTCAGTAATTCGATTTAATTTATCCTGCAAAATAATAAAATTATGTAATTATTTACATGGTATACTCGTATAAACTAAAATAAATGCAAGCAAAAATTAAGTTCAAAAATATGTTTATTTACACAAAAACAGGTTTCAGCGAAATTTCTAAGGTCGTTAATTTTCCTTTATACAAAATAATGCGATTGTTAATATTGAAAGTATAATTTAAACTAATCATGTGCTCCTAAAATATAGTTTTGAACTGGTTTGGGTTAATTGAATTACAGATATATTAATTCATTATCCTGTTGATATATTAGAAACTGCCTCAATAAAAACAACAATTAAAATCATTACAGTTCACGTTATCCATTATCATTTGATTATATATTTTTAATTTTTATTTCAAAGTTTTGCGTTCTTGTTTTATTACAATTATTACTTTTTTCTTTCTTTGTTTTATTACAATTATTACATTATTATTTTTCACTTCTTCCTGGTATGTTATGTAGGGTAGAGCGGGTCTTAAAGATCCGCGGATAAAGAGGTCTACTCTCATTATCTTAAAAATAAGTAAAGTATGGCATTTTTAAATGTTACTATTTTAAAGTAGCGGGCAAATGATATATAACTAACCATTGCCTTAAAACGATCGATTATCACGAGATAAACTTCCACATTGTCAAAATTTTTACCAAAGTATTTTTTTAAGTTGTTAGTTTCTTGGTTTTGAGAAATGTTGTTTAGTTTACGATATCTCAATATAATTTTTGAGAAAACATTATTTAGATACATTAGCATACATTACTCAGGTGTAGTTGGGGTATGAAGAGCCAACTTTATTTTTACACTGGCAACGGTGTAAACAAAAAAATGGCTAATAAAATGTAGTTAAAATGAGTTTTGCTATTGCTAGTTTTATTATTGAAACATTTTGAATGAAAATGCTTTTTAAATATCTGAAATCGGTTCAGGCGCTTTTGAGCAAACGTCGATGAAAGTTCTAATTTTGACAAATGCCAAAAACACCATACTAACTTTTGCAAACTTTGACGAATTTTTAAAGCTAAACCAGTTGTCGTAGGGCCGTAATATTTTAGTATGATCTAGAAGACTATGGTATCTACCGCCAAAAAAATAATAATAAAAATCGTCGAATTTTTTTTTTTTAAAACTTTATTACAAGAAAACGGCCCGGCTGATCTCTACCAAAAACTAATCAGCACCATTCCCAATCAATATCTTTCGAACGGTTTTTGAATTTTCAAAATCGATTCAGAATTGCGGTCTAAAACGTAGACGAAAAATTTTTCACTTTTCTGCGATTTATAAAGAAACGGCTTGACCGATAGTCGCACAAAATTGACAAACAATAGTCCTCATCGAGATACATCGAGTGGCTTTTAAATTTTTGAAATCGGTCCAGCCGTTTTCGAGAAAACGTCGATTTACGGCAAAAAATCTGTTCACATACACGCGCACACACACACACACATACTTTTTCCAAATTTGGTCTCATTCGATTCAGAATGGCTTGAAACGTCGAGAAAACATAAAATTAGCAATTCAGATTTTTTTATGAAAACATAAACTTCTACTTCGGGAAGTTAATAATAAAAATTAACAACAAATATCGAAAAATGGTCATAATTTCACCCAAGCTCTAGGCTGCACTTGAAAGCTCATATTTTTTAAAGTATGATGTTAAAATGTCAAAAGATTTTTTTTGTTTCAGGACAGTTATTAATGTCCGTACTATCACCCTGTTTCAGCTTGACATAAAATGATATTTTATTTTTTAGATAATTGTAAAATTAAATTATAATT